AGTGATTCATACACCCCGGAACGTGACTTCAATACAGCACTGAACATCACCCACCATGCTGGGTTTAATTAATTCCAAATTCTTTCAACAATTTGCAAACAAGAGTTCAAATGCGGCCACATGGGGTGGGAAAAGGGGGGAGGCAGGGGGAGGGGGGGGGATGAGAGGGGGGACGGGTCGGAGGGGAGGGGGGAAATTGTGCAGTTGCAAATTTTGGGAAAGACGCGGATCACTGCTTTTTCAAAAATTATCATAGAGTGATATGTGGGGGGGGGGTCGATCATCATCCCTTCCCCCCAAAAACCCCCCCTCCCTAGGGAAAGGGGTGGGGAGGCGGGCAGTGCTCCCCCACTCCTCCTTCCCCTCCCCCTCCCCCTCCTCCTCCTTCCTCCTCCTTTTTTTCCCCGTCCTCTTCCTCCTCTTTCCACCTCATTTTATAATCGGAAATACCCAGGTCAACGGGCTCCACTTCTGGCTAACCCAAAATCATTTAAACCATTAATTTTTTGCGAAGTCGAGGTTCAGCTGAGCTGATACCTGACGCATCCTGGCCACCGAGTTCAGTTTCAGTTTCATCTGAACCCTTTGTCAACTGACTCACGCTCCACCAACCACAGGGTCAACTATGTCAACTCCTGTGTAACAAAGATCAATAGCATCTCGCTCATGGTAGAACGAAGTTCAGAACTACTAGAACGGAGTTCAGAATGTTAAAACGAAGTTGATAACTGTTAGAAGGACGTTGAGAACTGTTAGAAGGAAGTTCAGAACTGTTAGAAGGAAGTTGAGAACTGTTAGAAGGAAGTTCAGAAATGTTAGAAGGAAGTTCAGAACTTGTTATGTAGTTCAGCTGGGCTTGTGTGGCCTCTCTGGAGACCTAATTATATGGTCACACCTGGCCTTGACAAATGGCTATCAGCCACGCCTTTTCGGCTTAAGTCTCAGCTCCTTTGTTCGTCACTGGAGTCAGATCTCGGCGTCAGGTCGTAACACGTGGTGCACACCCCATCGTGGAGGGTGCTTGGACCACCATATAAGCCCAAGGAACAGCTGAGCAGGAGACTTCGAGCAGAGCTGCTGCTGTGTGCAGGGCTCCAGAAGAAGGCTGCTGAAGTCTCTGAAGGAGACTGTTGGAGACATTGCGCAGAGTACTGGCTTGGAGCAGTACTCGTGCTGTGTAGGTCTTGGGACCTGTGGCTTAGTTCCTGTGGTGAACCGTCTTCTGTAAGTTATATTCTGTTTCGTCAAGTTGATTGTATTCCCTGTCTCACTGCTTATATATACCGCCCCATTTATCTAAACACAATGATGTACTCCTGTTCCCAAATATATTGTTGTACAAAGACTTAATAATAAACTGTGTTTGAGTAGAATAGTAATATACACTGTCCCCGTTATTTATTCTTTTAGTCATTATTTTATTTCAAGTAGTGAGAGAGTAGAGTAGTGTGGTGGGTGAGTAATGAGAGGTGAAGATGTAGTCACCAGTGACCTCACATTGCTTACCTCCGCTAACCTCTCCTACCACCTCGCCTTCCTATTCCCGGCCTACTGACTCCCTTACTCCCATATTCTCCAGTTAGCCTTTACGTTCCATTACCCCGCCCCACCATGTCATGTAGGGGGAAGCTCAGAACTGTTAGATGGAAGTTCAAAACTGTTAGAAGGAAGTTTAGAACTGTTAGAAGGAAGTTCAGAACTGCTTGAAAAAGCTTAAAACGGCTGAAGCTGAATTTCAAAACTCGAACGAGAACAGAACTGCCGTAACGGAACTAACGGAACGAGGCCCCGAACTACCATAATTAGGCAAGGAACTACTGCCACGAGACATAACTGCCGTAACTAGACAAGGAACTACTATCACGAGACACATAACTGCCGTAACTAGACAAGGAACTACTGCCACGAGACACATAACTGCCGTAACTAGACAAGGAACTACTGCCACGAGACACATAACTGCCGTAACTAGACAAGGAACTACAGCCACAAGACACATAACTGCCGTAACTAGACAAGGAACTACTGCCACGAGACACATAACTGCCGTAACTAGACAAGGAACTACAGCCACGAGACACATAACTGCCGTAACTAGACAAGGAACTTGAAAACCTCATGCATCAACATGTCAGGGACACAACCAGAGAGAGAGGGGAGGATGAGCCAGCAAGACTGGATCTTGTGTTCACCCTGAGCAGTTCAGACATTGAAGACATCACTTACGAGAGGCCCCTTGGAGCTAGCGATCACGTGGTTCTGAGTTTTGATTATATAGTAGAGTTACAAGTGGAGAAGGTAACAGAAACTGAAGGGACAGGCCAAACTAATAAGGGGGGAACTACACAGGTATGAGAAACTTCCTCAGGAAGTTCAGTGGGACAGAGAAAAGGTAAGGAAAATCAGTAAACGAGATGATGATATGTGCACAAAGTGCAAGGAGGCAGAGAAAGTTTTGTTCCCAGGGAAAAACAGAAATAATAGGCAAAGACCAAGACAG